ACATTTCAGTTCTTTAAAATTTCAATGGCATGATTCCTTGAGAAGTGAGCTGTGTTCCTGTTGAGTCTCCCACCATCTCACAACTCCGTGCCTATCACGAATTTTATCACGGAACATTTCATCAGTGCAATTTCCTTGTTCACTTAATCTTTTATACATTTCATGGAGTTTTCATGTTTGCTTTCTCGCAGGTGCTATCGTGGTGACGGCCAAAGCGTGCATGCGGGAACGGCTTGGATTGACTCAAAAGGAACGTTTCGTGTGTGCACTTGATGTTGGATGATCAGTGATCAACTCTTGTATTAATATTTAAGGGTTTTTCCGGATTTGCATAAATAAATTCATTCATTCAATGAATAAGTTCGTTCAATTCTTCCTAAATCACCATATCATACTGAAAAACAAATTTACAAAGAATTACAACCATGCGAACAGCATGACTTATCCTCGATTGTTTACATGTACATGTTCACTCTTGCAAGCATTGAAGAAAAAAGAAAACAGCTGATCTGTGACGATTCCATAGCAGCAGAAAAATGTTTCCCGGTCTGCTGAAATCGAGCAAATCAAAAGCGAACATTTCAATTAATTTCGTCAGCTCAACTCGGTTTAAGCTGCTGCTTGGCTCATACTTTCAGTACACGCTTACAGACGCCTGTGTGGCTCAAATCTGTCAATTAATCAATCACATTGTTACAACCAAGTTTTCTACTTGACCTATCGAAACTTTCTTATAAAACAAGTTTCATGCAGTCATTTTATTCGTGCATAACACTTTAACTGAAAATGACAACTACATTTATTCGTGCTTAACTGAAAGTTACAACTACATTCAAACTTCTTAATCGAGCACAAATCGCCTAAACAAAACTTTATCAATGATTCGAGCTAAATTCCACTTCGTTATCAAACTTATTTATTTAAATGATTAAACGTGACTCTTTGCTTGTTTGTTATGGTCGATGAGCGATTTAATTAAAGATTCGTTCACCAATAATAAAAAATTTGTTTATACGAATCTGTTTATATTAGTTTGATTTATATAAATCTTATGTTTATCTAAGAAACTTGTTCATATAAATCATCCATTGTTTAGTTTGATTTTGTTAACGCTGTCATATCTATTAGCGTTTAGGTCGTTACCAAATGTACCATTGTGAATATTTGCCTTCACCATCAAAAAATCGCTTATTTGTTCGGAATATTCTGAAAGATTCTGTTTGATTAACTGTGAAAAAAATCTAGACTGTAGAACTTCTCACATTTACAAGGAGGCATGTTCCGTTTAACAACTTCAGTAACACTCCTGTGCGCCATTACATTTGTGATTCTCTTCGAATTATGCACCACATCATCACCGGTGAGTTCATTCATCTCATATGGCTAATAAATCTCGAATGTTTTCATGTCTAGAGATTCCCTATTTTGATTCCTATTCATATTCGGAATGATATGCAACAAAAAAAACTGAAGGCTATTTGTCAGGTTTGCTCAGCGTCTGAAGCTGTTCGGACGGCTCACGTTTGCATGAGTCAACGTTGAGTTTCAATCCATAATTTGCTTTCCTGGAACTTAGTATATTAATCTTGAATTTTCAAGCGAACCCATTATACTGACTTCACATAATATTTCAGTTCCATACACCAGACCCACTGCAAACACACATTCAACAGACTGCAGGCGGTTACCCGGACGGTCAGTTCGGGAATGAACGAACGTTGTTGGGTGGTTATGGAAAGCACAGGCGTGCCGTGCTTCTGAAGGCTTTATATGGATGAGGATGGTGATGACGATTGAACAATTTGAAAGATCGTCACAAAATTCGTCGTAATCCAGCCATCTGGTCATGACGGTTTCATCGAGAGACGAAAAAAAATGAATGAGCTAAATGAATTTGAATTTCTGATCGCTTTATCAAATGACTGATCTCGTTAATCTTAAAACGCTGATAATTTAGTTTTTAGAATGATATGTAATCGTGTTTGATTAATTTGAATTTCAGTACCGTGAATATTAAAAGTTTTTCTGAACTTCGTTTTTTTGCCGTTATTTTTCCGATAAATCCAAAACTTAAGCAGTCATTGAGCTTTTATCGACTGTAAAAATTGATCCTAATGAATCTCACAATTTCGAGCAATCCCATTCAAAAAGACTCGGTTGCCAGAGAAAATGGTATCTTGAGTTATATACATTTCAAGTCGTCAATGTTTTGACGTCAATTTTGTCGCACATTTACACTCGCAAACATATTTATTACTCAGCTTCACCATCGAAATCACGTAACTTTCCCCTGATCACCTATATCGCAAACGATTCCACGTATCTGATCATCTTTAATACGTTTTTTCAGCGATGCGGCAGTTTCATTTTCGATTTCTCGAATTTCTTCCATTGTTAAGTCGTACCATCTGTCGATTGCACAAAATGTTTCCCTTGAATCAAAGTAACAATCATTTGAAGCTCTGAAGATCCACAAAAAGTGGAAATATCCCTAAAAGGGGCTTATCTATTGGATTTGAGGCAAACGGAATCAAGAATTGCTCGCTCTGAAGGCATAGGTTAAGCCTGATCTTACACATTTTTTAACGGAATGAAACGATTCCGTCATGATATTCTTATAAAGGAGCAAGGTAAAGGGGATGAAAATTGGGATGTAGAGAGAGTGTGGTATAGAATTTATTCACTAATCGTGTAGAATAAGGCAACTTTTCATATATTGATTTCATGAAACAGTCATGTTAATATACCAGCTTTAACACAATTCTTTTTAAGTGACTATCTTATCATTAGACTCGTTATCCTTAATACAACGATATTTCTTCTGACACCTTCGGAATGAAAAGCACCTGTTGAATTTATTGAATATGCGAGGATATTGCTTTTGACACAACCCTTCGACGAGTCGTTGTACACCGAACATTTTGAATTGAATCTGCACTACCTGAAACCGGCAGGCCACTGCTCATTCATGAGATACATTGTCTTTCCTTTACAACAAGCTTCATTCATTCCCCATCTAACTAGTTCTAAAGTGTGGATTTATCAACAAGGAAACCCTCTGAGCAATCATGAGGCAATCATACGTAGTGACCTTATAACAGCACATAACTGGTTTCGATGTAGTACTCCAATCTGGTTTGAGCTCTCCTCTTCCGGTTTTCTTTGACTTAAAAACCCTCGGATCGGTTTCCGGGGTTATGTCCTGAAATGTGAAGATATCATTTATACTTTTCAACTTCGATAGTTCTTCTATGTAGTAAATCATTACTGATTATCCAAGAGCTATATTCTCAATAGTCTATATATCTTCCATTATATCTTCTCCCCCGAATGGAAGTCCTCGCCAAGTAACAGCCTTTTCGTTAGAAGACCGTGTGAGTCAAAAATTTTGAATCACTAGTCAAAGAAATGCAGACGGTAATTCGAAGAATTTGATCGAACGGCAAAGAGTCAAGCAAAATGAACAGTGCAATTCAACGAACACTTGGTTTTAGCACAGAACTGTCATAAATATCAACCATCACAACTTCACGTTTTTTGAGTAACTCTGCTGATAAACCAAGCGCCTGAACAAGCAAACATCAATTCAAGCATCGCATTCATTTCATTTGCTTTCATAAGTTATGCGCAGCAATTATGACTGATCTACGATAATACAATTGATTTACGGGGTATTTGTTTGCTTCGCAATATTCTGAAGTATGTCTCATGAAATTAGGAACATATCAATCGAAAAATTTTGATTCAATATCTCAAGATTTTTTCATTTGAGTGAATTCAGATTGTCAGCAGTGAATCTGGCTGATAAAACGATTGAAATTATCGAGAATTTAGAGGAGAGCACGCACATTTTCGGTGTCTCCGTTGTCTGCGAGATGCATCGATTCGACGATTAGATAGAAATTTTCTTTCATAAATTCAGGATTCTGAAATAAAGAATGTTTTGTGTCGTCTAGTACCTGCTCACGATTGTTTTCTCACCAAAGAAATCACGATTGTGATAAATATTACAATACACGACGATAAGAATGAAAGATAATAATGATGGCGATAACGATTGTGCTAACGATATTACTCATGTGAATGACGATGATCAAATGATATGATAAAGATATCAACGATTCCAACAATTATATGGTAATGAGTGCTACTCCACTCACCGTAACAACGGTTTTACAATACGGGTAAGCATTCCAGCATTCCTCATGCAGTATAAACGCGGAATCTGGTAGCAATTTTCTGAATACCCATGGCGATTTTGATTTTGAGTAATATATTTTGTATGTGTATGTTCCCTTTAATGTTTCACCAGGTTTTATATGATCACTTTTGAATTCCTCTTGTTTAAGGACCTGAATTCAGTTTTTTCAATGATCTGGTTTCAAGTCAACGAACTGAGAAAACACGAACTTGAGAAGTAATTCGTTACTAACGACAAATAGGACCGATGCTGATATACAACAACGATATGGAGCATTGTCCAGATTTGATCAGAAAACTTTAAAATGCTATCTATTTATCACCTTATATATTTCATTACTTTCTTGTTGGTTTCGAATAT